CATCGGAGCTTTTTTTATACCAAAATTTAGCAAGGAATTTTTTTTGCTAATGCACAGTAAGTAGTTTCATATATAAATTTTGAGTTATTTGCATGATTTTCACGTTACACCTGATCTTAAAATCTAATTGGTCAATTTATGTCGATCAGTCGGTGCTACTGGGGTAGTAGTAGTTTAACAATACGTACTATCATTAAACGTAATTTTCGCATAAGCCTCCTTTTATATAAATATAAGGGTTGCCTTTTTCATCATTTCGCTTTTTTTATTTTTAACATTTTTTTGCAAAGTCAACTATTGCGTTTTCTCTCACAACAAAAAAATGTTACTGAAGCGATTCTCTAATGTAAAATACACACTTTTTGTCCGGAGCTTTTACGTTAGACTGTGATATGATATCGATATGATATATACACTTAACATTTTTTTGCAACTCACAACAAAAAAAATGTTACTGAAGCGATTCTCTAATGTAAAATACACCCTTTTTGTCCGGAGCTTATATTACATTATTGATATTTTATGCTCCGGACTTCCACTGAGTCGTCATTTTTTTTTAGTGTATACTGTATTGAGATGGTACAGAATAAGAACTCGAGCTAATAACTCAGCGAAAGAGGCGGACGCTTCATTGATGAAATACTTAGAAGAGTATTAATGATTCAAGGGAACAACCCGCTCAGAACCGGGAACCGCGCCACGACAAGTACCGGTGGAAGAGAGATGGTTTGGGGTTCACCTTCCCAACCAAATGAGATACACCTCTACGCGGTGGTTGGGACAAGTATGAGACTATCTCTGAAACGAACGCTGTCTTCGTTGATTCTTTAATATATCATATATTATTATTAGTTACATTAATTAATTGCATTAAGTATCTCAATAATTACCTTTTTTTTTCAAACTTTCATGTATATTTAAAGGTTTATCCCATGATGATTTATTTAAAAATTCGTGTATTAATTATACTATTGTTTATGATGTTCAAAGTTATAAGGATTATCTCATGTTATTTTTAAAATGAATAATTAATAAAAAAATTTTTTAAAGTCAAAATGATATAAATTTATTTTACATTGTGCTTAGTTCGATAACTAAAAGTTATTAAACGTTTTTAATATAAAGCATTTTTTGGCTATAATCGATGCCGATTTTTATAACAATGCTCATTTACTGTATAATGGGGATACTAAAGTCATGACACGGGATTACTTTATAACATTGATTTCGACATTACTTAAATATTGACATTAATGTCCTTTTTTTAAAAAAAAATTTTACAATTGGATTAGGCAGTAATTTTGTGACTTTACTCGATAGTAATCTAGTTTTTTAGATCGCTATCAGTCGAATTTTTTTTTTCCACTCCACCATGAACAGTACCAACGATCCGTATTTTTGCGTCTCGTCAAATATCGGGGACCTATTGTGTATTCTGAGCCAGGACAATATTACGTGATCTAGAAAGTTACGATATAAGAATTTACTAATAAACTCTCGATATAAGCAAGTTTTGTAAAATTTTTTCTATTAGATGGGAACCGATGACAATCGTTTAAAATCAAATTGTAAATTTTTTTACCCGTTTTTCTGAGTTATTAAAGTTATTCAGAATTATGCTATAATCATATAAAATCAGAATTTATGTAAAATTTTAGGGAAGGTTTTTTTTTTTTCTCCTAATAAGATAGTACGGTCAGAATTAATTTAATTGATGGGAGGTAGTATGCTGAAATTTGGATCTCTATTCAAAAATATAAGTTCTACTAAAATCCACATATACTATTTAAATATAAACCCTAACCTTAGATTCTAACCCAATTATAAAAAATATCATGCTAAAGTAATCAGTTATAACAGCCTGGTTAACCGTGCGGATATCTAGATAAGAGGTGTTCACGGATCAACCTCTAAATTTATTAAAATATCACTAAGTAGCTGGTCTAGAACTTTCCGTTAAAAGATTATCTTTTTTTATCGGAACATGAAACAATCCAAAAGTTCAGGGGTATTCCAGATTTCTGTCAACAGCACTGTATTATTAATTAAAAAACCTTAACACTGTAATAATGTAATTAAATATTATCACTTCTCATTTGTGATTAATTTTATGACTTATAAAGATTTACTATTACTATAACTATTTTGGTTTTATTATGGTCAAAATGAGCAACATTACTTCTCATTGATCTAAATCCATTATTTGAGAACATCGCTTACACTATATTTATAATGATATAAAACAATATTTGATAGTACAAATAAAGTATGATTCTATATATATATATATATATCTTTTGTAATGATCAAAAGCTTATGCGTGAATTATAAAAATCGCCCAGCAGGTTTTTTTAAAAACTTGTTCGGTTAAGCTGAAAATTAGCTTCACTTATTTTTTATTTTTTGGCCAAGATTACTATACTTGAGAATCCATGGATGCATCGTGACTTGATTAACGGCTAGGCGCTGTTCAGGTTCATATTGCAATAACTATATATAAATGATATTAATTAACGACTTTTATAAATAATATGCGATTTTCAAAAATATTTTACCGATGTAATTAAATCCTTCGCCTCTGAGGAGATATTGTGAGGTAATTTTAGGTCGACACCTGCGATTCGGAGGCGAGTATTGTATTCACTATCCATATCTGCAAACGGTGGTTCACCGACCAAGAACTCATAACATAAGACACCAAGGGCCCATGAATCAATTTTACCATCATGACCCGTACTCATGACCATTTCTGGTGCCAAATAATCTAAAGTCCCACAAAATGTCATACGCCTAGATCTTTACATACATTTATAATTAATATCAAAATTATTTTAAATAATTTTCTTGATAAATTAATACCTTTGTTGATTTGGTGCATGAATCGCCCATCCGAAATCAGAAATTTTAACATCACCGTTTTCTGATAACAACAAATTTTCGGGTTTCATATCTCGATGAATGACATCCTTCTCTTGAAGATAGGTTAATGCGTCAGCAATTTGTGCAATATACTGATAATGGTATGTCATGAAATTTGTCGGAGTCATCAAAAAAAAAAAAGCTTTATGAATTGGAAATTCATGAAATAAACCTTTGCCGCCACTCGCTCTGAAAATCGTTTATATTTCACAAGATATTTATACAACTCTCCTTTTGCTGCATATTCTAATATCAAATATACTCGGTCCGTGTCGTGAAAATAGCCATACAAACGTAGAATATTTTGATGCCTATTAGAGAGTTTATATAGAATTTATTAATGAATTGAATAAAAGATTAATAAATATACACTTTCGGATTATACCTTAAATGAGATTGAATTTCAACTTCACGTTTCAATTGTTTTTCGAGTTTATGTTCTCTCAAGTCGCTTTTAAATATTACTTTGAGCGCAACAATCTTACCGCTTGTTTTTTCTTTTGCTTGATAAACTCGTCCGAATCTACCTTGACCAAGAGGATCGCCTAGTTCAAAATCATCCAATGACCAAGTGCGAAGAGGTATTTGCTTAGTTGGTGCGGAAGCATTCTTTTGACTTTTTTGCATTAGCATAACTAGACAAGAAACGCGTATCAGTATGTCAATCCCTGATCATATAAACAGATTAACCACAACGGCAGATCCTCGATTTTGATTGGCTAACGGCCCATATTGCAAAATTGCCGGCCGGAATTAACTGAATTTTTTTCAAAAATAGGGGTCGTCTAAAGCGGAGCAGGGTCACGTGATATTAGACCAATCAAATTACAGAATATTGATGATCGCCGACGAACCGATGACCTATAGCTTTTTTTTTAATTTTGGTCATAGCTAATAAAAAATACTTTTACTATAACTCTTACTATAATAAAAAAGGTCATAAGTCATATCAATCTTCAATATGACCGAGTGACCTATGATAGGTCATAAAGGTCATACAGGTCATTTAGATCATAGGCCAACACTGCCAACGAGGTAGGTTAAGTAAAAATGCCGGGAAGGCAATTTTACATATATATAAGTACCAAAACCTGCTCTAACCCTCATCCAAGATGATCATAACTCTAAAGTTAATTCGATAAAATATATATTATAAGAATCTACTCCGCTTTAGACGTCCCCCAAAAATAGAAATTCTTAAATAATATGGTAAAGGAACAATTTTTTTACCTAATTTTTTGATCGTCGCTTTTAGCCAATCAAAATCGAGAATCTGCCGGTCCAATTTTGCTATGCGCATTACGTCGATTTTTTTTTTTAATCTATCACTGTATCACGATAGGAAATTCGCATAATTTAAATGCCTCGAAATTTTGATTTTATTAGATCACTTAATGATGATTTTTTCCTTACCGTACGGAGGGCCCATTTAATAAACCTATATGAGTTGCTTGTAACATCACTTAGTGATAGAAATTATTGCCGAGCCAACCGTATCGTTGAAATTTTATTACAATGTCCTGAGGTCGATGTCACTCACGTTTGGAGGGTAACAAAATATCTCGTTACATAATATGATTAACAGTATATACATTTTTAATCCCGCCATATTTTTTATTTTTAAAAGGCGGCTATAGATGTATTAATGCACCTTGGAAATGCTGAAAAAACGTGCATAGATTTTTTTAATCAAATGCTATTACATACCAGGTGTAAGGTAAATTTACCAGAATTTTTATATCTGATTAGATTAAATATTATATTAATTATGTGCTTTTATTATATGTTCATAGGAAGAAGTATTGTTAGAATTAATTTCTTTTCAATTACATTCTGGCAAGCCACGAGACGCACTTGAAATTCTTGATACGTAATGCACTCATTAAATTTATTTGATCTGATATTTTATTATAAAAAAATTGAAAAAATAATTTTAATCTATGTTACAGATATCTAACACAACAACCATACAAAGATAACCCACTGATTTTTGGTTATACTGGAATGCTCGCTTTTGCGTTATGGGAACAAACAAATGTCATTATTAATGGTTCCAGTGTTATTAAGCCAATAATTGATCAAGAAAATGAGAAGATAAATGAAAAACCTGTCATACATGGTGCTACTACTATCTCTTTAAACCTCTCTTGTTCCATATCAGATATGCTAATTCTTTATTTCGTTAAAATTGATCAACATGTAAGATCTTGAGCTATGTATTGAACAACAGGCAAGGTATTACGAATTAAGTATTAGTTCACTAAGAATGGCGCTAGAAATGGATAAATCAAATGATATGTTTCTTGTAATCTATACACAGGTAATCGTTTAAGTCGTTAATGTGGATTAAATCAGTTACAAGCAATTCTTACAAGTTTTTTTTTTTAAAAAAAAATAAATAAAAAGTTGTTATTAGCTGATGGTATGGTTGATGAAGCCTTAGATATCGTACGGAGTTTTTGCAATCAAAATCCACACATTGTTATTGGCCATAGGTATTTCTGTTGATATGAGTTATATATTCTTTAATAATATTTGTTATATTGACATACCATTCCTTAAAGGCTCTTATTCGACATTTTATACAAGCATCGAAATGAAGACACTGAATGGGTTCAAGCTGGAAAAACATATCATCGTATAGATCCAGTTAGTCCCCCTGAAGCCGTACTAAATCCTCTAATAAATTATTATGAAAATGTGATGGGTAACATTCAAATTTTTCATTTAAAAATTTTTTTTTCTATAAACTTCTATCTCATATCGTATTTTTCCTTGATTAGAAAATCAAACTTCTACTACGGATAAAAGACCGCTAGCTGAAGTGCATTATAACATTTTGGAATTACTGTTTCAACGCATTGAAAATGGCGATGATGAATTTGAGTACGTGAAAGATGCTATAGTTAATTTTACATGGCTAGAGTAAGAAATGTTTATATCTTGTATAAGTGATTTTTTTACTTGCTTGTATTATATTTAAATAATCTTATAAATACTTTTCCAAAGATTTTTTGATCCTCAGCGTGAATTGACTAATATACTGCTAGAAAACCGTGCTTGGTTTCGTAAGTTTTTCTGGTTTCCAAACAACAAAACCATAACATGCTGGCAACATATGCAGTACTATCGTATATTGGCCGTGTTCTGTGGGTGTAAATCACAAGGAATGATTATATCACGTGCTAATAAATTAAAATATTATATACTTGTAATATACATTTTTTACATTTGAAAATTATTGTTTAAAATGGTAAATTTCTTTACTAATATTTTTTCTTGTGATAGACCGGCAAAGGTGGTGAGGGTTTAAAAGGATATTTATTAGATTTTCGAGTAAAGAAACTGAAAGAATTGAGGGAGAATGTAGAAAATATATTTGGATATTACTTAAATGAAGTAGTAATTCCAGAACCTAAAAGTGATCAGTTAGACATAAATTCAGAAAATGAAGATGGTCAATCAAGTGACGCAGATTATATTTCTTTAGAAGATGACCAAATTGATCAGTTGCACATAAGCTCAGAAAATGAGGATGCTCAATCAGATGAAGAAGATGAAGCGGAGTATATTTCTTTAGAAGATGATCTATTAGATTATTTATATGATGAATTCTAGCAAATTTAATGAAAATCTTATAATTCAATTCATAAAATTTAATTTGCAACATAGATACAATGGTATGTATATCTTTAAATTATCGCTCTTTTCAGATTACTGTGATCAACAAATGATTGACCATCAGACGGAAATTTTTCAAATTTACGTCCTTTTTTTATGAATAAAATCAAATAACTTGCTTACAATGAAAATTTCCAAGATTTCTCCTTTTATTACTATTTTCTAATATTAAATCTAGTTATACACGAAAATTGGTAGTCTGTATAGCTTAACAACGGTGGGAATCTCATGCTTTTTTTTTTTTTTTTTTGTAAATTAAAATTTTTAAAAATTTGAGCTAAGATATCTCGACAACCACTTAATCAAATTTGATAACCTTTTTTTTTGAATTCTATAAATCTGCTGAACAAATAAAAAAGGTTATTAAATTTAACTTGGTGGTTAGTGAGATATCACTGTTCAAAGTTTTAAAAAACTCAAAACATTTATCAAAATAAAAAATTTTTCAACTTAAGTGAAGATATCTCCAAATCAAATTTGATAAACTTTTTAATTTGAATTATACGAACCTTTAGAATTCAAGTAAAAAACTTTATCGAATTTGACTTTGTAGGTTATCGAGATATCTCTGCTCGAAATTAAAAAAAAAAACTCAAAACTTTGAACAAAGATATCTCGACTCTTGACAACTACCAAGCTGAACATTATATGAATCTGTAGAATTCAAATAAAAAGAGTTCATAGAATTTGACTTTGTGGTTATTGCGATATCTTTGCTCAAAGTTGTTTTTAAAAAAAGTTTATCAAAATTAAAAGCTACACCAAAATTTCTCAAACTTTTGAGCGAAGATATCTCGATGATCACCAAGTCAAATTTGGTGAATTTTTTTTTTTTTAATCAAAATTTTAAAGATCTAAAAACTGTTATAAAATTTTTCAAATTTTAAGCAAAGGTATTTTGACAGCTATCAAATACCTGGGTTAAAAGTGTTCAAATTTGAATATTTGGTATTATTAAAGTTATATTTATATGGTTTAATTTTTTTGTGCACCTGCATTCCCACTATATCAAAAAATTTTACTAGGGTAACCCTGTTATGTAATTAATAAAAATGATTCTCAACTGTTTAGTTAGGTTATTATTCTGACAAACATGTTCACAGTACTTCACATGATGTCCAAGTATACTCAGAAGGTTAAATTTTTTTAAAATAGGTTTAGTTTATTTTATTAATTTTTATTTATATATTTTTTTTTAAATACTTTTAATATTTTTAAGATAATGTTACTTTATCAGTTATTATAAATAAACTCAATGAATTATCCAAGAAAGTTAATTGTATTGAAAAAAAATTGCTGATATGAATACTAAAATAACAGATAATTTTAATATTACCAATAATATGAATTTTGTATACTATATTTTTATATATTGTGTTTAATTAAATTAATTTAGTTAATAATAATTATCTTTATTATAGAATACTGTTAAAGAAACTGCAAAAGCCTTAATAAATTACAGTATATATCTCACTAAAGATGAATTCAAAGCAGCAACTGCTAAATATTTAGAGGAATACAAAAGTGATTACTAAGATAAAATACAACCAAGCAATTAGAATTCAATATTTAATATAAAGTTTGCTGGACCTGTAAAGTTTTATAAAATATTTATAATATTTTAAAATTTTCAAAATCTTTTGAATAATTCTATATTTTTTTATTTTCGTTTCTTTTTTGTTTTTCATATTATTATTTGTTTTTAATATTTTCATATTTGTCATATTTTTTTTATTTAAACTTTAATTATTCATTTTGCTTAAATTAATTACTTTTGAATTTTTTCAAAAATTATAAATATATTTGTTTTTAATTTTTTATTTGAATTTTTTTTTTTTTTTGTAAATTAAAATTTTTAAAAATTTGAGCTAAGATATCTC